TTACCGAGTTAGGGTCATTTGGGACTCAATTTACCAACCCCGTTTAGAACAAATAACATTTTTACTTTGAATAAAATTTTATGAGAGCTTGAGATAAAAAAGCTTATTAATGGCAGTTTATATTTTTCACATAATAAATACCATCATGAATTTAAAGTTTGGCGTAACTTTTATTTTAGGTATTTTGTAGCAGTAAAATATTTTATAATAATCAATCATATAGAGTTGGTATCATGGGCAATTCAAAATCTATTTAATATTGTTTTTTGAGTGTAACGACGATAGTTCCATTTTTAATTTATTATAAAAAATACCCCTAGCACACAACTATGCTATAACCACTCAAGTGGCCTGTTCTTAAGTCTGTAATTCATCTGAAGTTTTAAGTACCTATATTACGTACTTGTAAAGTTAGCATTGTAAATATCATAATATTTAATATTAATACACATAATATTGTTTGTGTGAAGGATATTGTAAAAAAACAAATAAAAAATATACCTAAAAGACGACTTATCCTAATTTTAATTTTAGATGCCTGTTTCATAAAATAAAAACAAATATGAAACCTATTAATGTGACATGATATACTTATAATAATATTATTGATTTAAAAATACTATGAGACTTGAATTAATATCGCATGCAATATTTCCCATCGTTGCTTCATACAGTTGGAAATATAATATTATATTAAATATGAACAGACGAGAAAATTGTATTTTTGATGTCGAAAATCGTGTATCATACTTTTTATAATAGTTGTGTACATACAGTAGAAAGGTTGTTTTTGCTCCTTTGCTTACATTCTACTTTTATTGTTTTAATTCAGGTTCGAATATTCTGTGCTAACAAAACATTGGTGGAGGTCATATAATAAATTCTAGTCGTATCGCATATTATGCCCATTGAAATAATTTCACGCACATCTTTGTTATTATTAATATAAAAGGGTAATAAAAATAAACCCTATAAGTGTATAAGTGGAACATGCTGCAATTAATAAAGGCCAGCTCAACGAAATTTATATAATTGAATTAATTTATTAATGCTATATAGACATTATCGGAATCCAAACGGGGTGAGATATATTGTAGATGTGTATCCGATTTTTAACTACCTACTATACACAAAATTAAGTATTGTTGATTATCTTGATTAAATGGATGTTTGAAATTTTAGAAATGTTTGTAATTCTGTTTTGTTTTGTGTGTATACAGTATTCTTTAGCTAAACAAATGTCTGTAAGTGTCTTCCTTTTAAGTTGGCGTCTTATAAAAAATAAATAACAGTAGCTCTATTGAATCATCACAAAAACACTGATAGTTGTGAAATATGGCGTCTTTTGACTAGGCACTTAACTTTAATGATTTCCATACTATAGACTCCTAGCTTAATTATTTATTTAGGAACTTTAATAAAATTAGCGAACGCGTTGACAAATCATATATGCATTATACTATTATGTATACATTTTAAGGTTAACGTTAGGTACTAAAAACTTTGGTTCTTGTCAAAACAGGTCAACCGTATTTCAAGTTACTCAAATTTGCTTTTGAAACTCAATTTGTTGTGTCACTGAAATCGATTTTCAGCGAGATCTCGTTTAGTGTATCAATAATAAGTGTTAATTTATCGTCAGATTTGAAATGTACAGTGTTGCACTTTCAGTAGGTTTGATCATTAGTTTGAAAATATCACTATTAGTTTATTTTTATCGATGTTGTTAAACTGTATTATGTGAACCTAACAAACAACGTTGTGACATCAGGAAGTAGACCACTGAGAAACCCCAATGAGTATCATGGCGGTTAACCTGTCAAATAAATTATTAGTAACTACTCAAACACAAATAATTACTATGAATATAATGAAATAAATATCACAGTTGTCACAATTATTAAATAATTGATCACTCGCGGGTAGATAGGTACAAAATGTAGATAAAATATGAAAATCGTTGAAATTGTATTGTAATATAAAGAATTAATAATATTTATAATTTCAGATTTCCGGTCGTTGTCGTGCAAATATATACGGTATACCAGTGACTGGGATTTGAACTTGGCCAAAGAAGACATCGGTGTTGATGCGGACGTTTACTTCACGCAATCGTTTGTGGCTAAAATGAGGTATGATCTGTTAACTTTAAAAACAAAATAATTAATATAGAAAAATAATGATATATTTTGCTTGATTATGAATTTCTGTCCCATGACAAAATAAAAATTTCATTAATATTTATTTTAAAATGCAATGCTTTTATTTTAATTCTGAACATGTTTTCATGTTTTATAACTATAGCTGATAAATTTTATGGAGTTTAGACGTAATTATCGCAATTTCTAGCATAAAATATTGACGTTATACAGGAACTATTGTACAGCGG